AATAATTGAAGAGGTCTTTTAATCGAAGCGCTCTTTTATTTCTAGAACATTGTCGAAAATTCGATGGGGGCTTGTAATAGTAGTAGGTCTTCTATCGTAAAATCCGTTAGTTGATGCTAACCGAACAAGTATGTGTTTCACACAGATTTTTGATTATCATCATGGCCTAGTATGCTCGCTGCAGCGATTTCCAAAGGGCTTGTCCGATCAACTGCGACACATGATCACACCAAGACGTCCTAACAAATGTCTAACAAATACAACCTCACCAAAGCTGCACTCAGGGAGACGCGACAAACAGTAGCCACTTTCTAAAGACCGAAATATAATTGTACATCCGTACAACCGCGGCACACTACTAAGTCGGCTTTTTTAAGATATCTAAACTCATATAGCAACATCGGTATTAATCAATTCGAGCAATCTTAAAGACCGCGGCACACTACAACTTCTGCTTATCGATGGTATTTCATTCAAATAGCAAGATTAACTCGATCATGCACCAGAGCTATAGCTGCCCAATGCCCACACCTAAGATGCTTCTGCTTCAGTAGGTTAGGTGGATAAATGATTAGTCAAAACTTCAATACGACGAAGTTATCTGTACAATATGCGTAAAAATCAATTGAACGGTCTCAAGCGTTGCTGCTGATTTTTGTCATCATAAACGTTTCACCGGATAAGTCTTCTCATCGTGGTACGAATGCTTCTGTTAGTTAAGGGGCTGCGAACATGCGTGCTCGAGGCGTCCAACGCTCTATGTTTTCAAAACACTGCAAAGAATCCAGTGCACCAGTAGTTGATAGCTCTCTTTGTCCGACTTGATATTACAAATTTTAGTGACACTAAATTTTTCTCTGGTGTGGTCGCCCTACAGCTGTAGACAAAGCTCTACAAACCTAAACAGCTGTATTTAAGTACTGATTCATGTATACAGTTAATGTCGGCAATTTTTAAGCTTCGCAACGCTCAACTAAACATTAGACTCACTTAGCGGAAGGCTAACAGAATATTTTAGTCAATTGCAACAACTACCATGTGAAGTAGAGCGAGGGGCTTTCTTTAGTTCATATCACATTTTGCGATGAATCAATTTTAGAATATCTGAATCGTACAAAAGCCGCAGTTTTGGCTCATCCGGGTTTTGTCAGGTTCGGATGCTTGACAGAGTTATAGATGCAAGCTATTTGGACGTCTTCGCTGAAGATTATGAGCCATTACACTTTCAGCCCAGCAGAAAACATCGAAAAGTAATTTCTTTATCTGGTGCTTCAACGCCTCCATGGCGTTGGCGAAGAAGGAATTGCTGGACCACATGTGCAACGGGGTACGTACAATACTATTGCATACATACAACATTAACTGCCGAACTAATTTTGTACTGGTGTACGAAATACATATATTTCACTTTTGTGTAGTACTAACAAACATGATGTAAAACGTGCATATAGCATAAGTTTAAACAGAGTTTTTCCTAATATGCAGTATGCACTCTTAATATAGCAGAGCAACTTGGGTAAATAGTTACTTCAGAGGCTCTCGGTTACGATCCTGCGAAGAGCACACGAACCAAACCAATGTGCATTTGGTATCGCTAATTTCTTAAGTCAGCGCTATTGCCGTGCACAATGAAAACAAGAAAGGCAGCTCGGCGCCAGTTGGGTATAAGACATAAAAGCGCTGGCTGTGGTACAGATGTTGGTTCATGCCATCAGTAAATGTTTAGGAAAACAGCTTTATTTGAGGGAGCATGGGAAATGCTCCGCACACCTCATATTGCAAATCGACAAAGGAAATTTCAACTGCGCAGGCAGATGCACGGATTTTACTGCCATCTGTGCATCTGCCTTTAACTGGAAGTGGTTTTATGAGATAAATATTTTATTTGGACCATTTGCGCTCTGGAAAAATGGTCGATATTCTGCTTGGCAGGTTGCTTTCAGAGTATAATGCCTTAATTAGAATTATCGAAGCAGGAGATGGCGTGAAGCCAACGGACGAGATACAAGCGTGAGGAGAAGCACGAGTTCTTATGTAGATCCGGTGAACGTGGCTGTCTTCGCGTTGGCAAATTTTTCTGTATAGTCACTTACCCAGAAGATCGGGGATGAAGTAGCCCAAACAGAAAACACATGCAGCAAATTTTATGGTATGATTGTCTTGCCATGTAGCAGGTGCTAGGAGCATGCTGAAGGTTCTTGAGGATGTGCAAATTTTCGGCAAGACGCCCAAGGAGTCAAGTTAAACCATATGATCTATGGGGCCCATCAACTTTTTGTCGAAAGGTGTCGTGCAGTGTATGATTCATAGTCTTAGTTTGTGTGCTCTTAAAGTTTAATCACCACAATCTCAGCCCAAATAGTATCGACAGACATGTCCTATTAAAACGTAAAAAGACGAGTCAGAAGACATGGAGACATAAGACAATCATAGTATCAAAGATGGAATCTGTGGTCGGTGTAACAATTTTAATGCAAACTGAAAGGTTGACGAACTGGTGCGAAGCCTGTAGAGATCTAATCTACGTTGATCAACGTAAACTCAATCACAGAAAACATGTCGCTTCAGCGCCACAATGGATTTGCACTGTATCACGCAATGAATACAATCTATTTAACAATCGCTTTGTTCAAGGTCCGCAGTGTACGTATCCGATGTATCTTGAGCAATGTTGGCTAGAAAAACGCGTACTTTGATTTTGACCGCTAACGGCGAATAGACCATGCTCGGCAAAGTCTCTGCCAAACATACAGCTTTCTTCCTTCATTGGTAAGGGTGATTGTATCGCTGACAACAGCTTTATGAGCGTTGTTTCTTAATCCGTGTACAAGGAGTACGGAGTTGGTATTATCGAAAACGTCCGTAGGATGACCAAATAAAATTCACACGCTACGTGGCGAGGATCTTGACCTTTTGCGCGTTACACACGTGAACACATTAGCTTTTCTACTTGTGCCGCCTAAGCTACCAGTACATAGCGCCCTAATAAGGTGGATCTACGAAAGTGCATCATCCCGGTCAAGAGGATTGCTAATTGTGTCAAGAATATGCGTGCTGTAGAACCGCAGTCCCCGGGGCAAGAAGAGGCGGTAGAACCAATTCGAAAAAGCTAAAATAAAGCGATATGTGAGCTTGGTAAAATTCAAAAATCTGAACACAGAAAATATGCTCCGGCTGAATCGAAAGCCGTACGTATAGCATCGCCAATGCTTGATGTCAGCATTGTGATATACGATAGCACATAATCCAAAGCGTATCTTTCACTGCTTTAAACCAATCAGTCGATAAAATCATCTCAGCCATTATCGACAGCTGCGACCACAATGTTGCCAATAACTGACAGCGATTTGGCCGCGGTGTCTCCGTGCGTGGTAACGCATGATCTACTTGTACCACAAAAAGCTCGAGGCCACCCCGAATATGACAAGATCAGATTGCACAGCAATTTGCCCCTTGTCATGAACTGCAAATTTCTTCTCGGCACTTTATGCTGACAAAAACTAAAGAAATCACGTATATATGCTCATCTGATAAGCGAGGTGAAGCCTCTGACAAATACCAAAGCGTTACTGACGACGGGTTCGGATCCAGAAGAAGAAGATTAGAAAAGCTTCTCCAACGTCTCTATTTGATTGATTTTATAGCGTTCGCTTTAGAAGATTCGTGATGTAGGCATAGTTTGAGCTTATTAGCAAGCCAGACCTAGTAATTTGCTTTAGATTTGAAAACACATTCCTGTTATCGCTGCTACATCTGCTCTCAGGTCATTCTTCCCAACGAGGCATACCGAGAAACGATTATGTTGCGTCAAAGACAGAAATATATACATTGATGAGCACGTTGTCAGCGCCTTTTCAAAGTGATCAAGATTGATATCTACATCAAATTTTTCGTGCTCAACATGAATGAAGTAAACGAATTCTCGAAATGAGTATGTGCATATGCTCGAGGTCGCCTTGAAGGTGCAGCAGCAGGCGGTGTAATACTGCTGGTTCGTTGGACCGCCTGCCCTGTGGAATTTTTCAGACACTTTCAGCACATTCCACTGCGATTATCCACTGCTGTGAACCACTTGAATGAGAACATAATGGGCTCATCGACTAGTCAAAAGTGCTGTTCTTTGTCATATTGTTGTGCGGCACGCTCATTATAGGGATCGGCGTTTGTGCTAGAATAATAATCACATTTAGTATATGGGAAGCGTGCAAGATTAGCTGCGTTCAGCTAAGGTTTTACACAGAAAGTCAGCGCCGACTGGATAGGTTCACTCTCTCTCACAAATCCTATTTCCTGCTTTGCACGGCACAAACGTCTCATCGCATGTTGTTTTGGTAAAGGGCTTCGGCGGGTGAGGTAGTTCTTACTGTCTATCTCGATCCGGCGTCTGCTTGCAGCAGTGCACAGCCGATGGCAAAGCCCGAAGCGTCAAAGATGACGCCGAAAGGACAATTAGTGTCTGGTAGCGCTGGTATTGGTGCATGCAGGAGGCTGCCTTTAACTTCATCAAAAACCTCCTGATGTTTGGTGTTCCAACAACATTCCGCATCCTTTTTAAAAAGATTGGATAATGTCCGGGCCATTTCCGCATAATTTACGCTGAACTTGAGTAAGTAGTTGGCGAGACCAAGCCACTTACACAAGTCCTTCTGGTTCTTTGAACCCGGTCAGTCTACAATGGCCTTGACCTTAGTGGGATCCACTCGAAGGCCACGCTTCCTAATGAAGCAAAAAGGGAATCTCTTCTGCGCCAAAGATGCACACGTCTGCATTGGCGTACTGTAGTTCGTGCGCATGCACTCGAGCACCGCTCTTGAATGGACGATGCGATTCTCCTCATCCGTCCTCCGGTGCTCCGCACGACCATAAACAAAAATATCATCAGATTATATCTATACATATGCCCTGTGGGGCCTGAAAAACTGCGTCACAGGACGATGAAATGTTGCTGGTGCATTTGACAGCTCTTGGGGCATCACCAGCCAATCCCAGAGCATGCCGCTCGGAGTGCTCACCGCTGTCAGCGG